CGCTGGCCTATTGATAAGCGTCTCCCGTTTTTCGATTCCCCACGAGATGCTCACTGGCCGGAGCAAATTGTTCATACTTAACTTCTCTGCCTAACAAGGTTAACCTCTTTCTATCTCCGCATTCACTGCGGCCACCTCTCCTTCAAAACCTGATAGAATCATTCCTTACGTTATACTGCTATTTAAGCCACATTATGTGCCGACTGCTGTATGCAGTTCAATTATCACTCTTGGATGGTCGCTGGAATAACTGCCTTCGTGCCATGCAAAACGCTAACCTAACAGATGCAAGGCAAAGGCACATTTTTGAGAAAAGTTACTCCCTCATCAGTCGGAATATTTTACAGGTTACCAAACGCAATGGAAGCGAGGGAGGACCTCATATTTAACTCTCATTGGCCCCAGTTGACACTGGAGATGATTAAACTGGTCGACTTCTTCTGTAGCCTCCCTACGTGTTCAATTAGTAAATTAACATGATGGATTTCTAATAACTTTTGACGTCTGCGCGTTAAGAAAGAGGCCAACTTTCACAGCTGTGCTGCATACAGTCGCCATCAGGTGAACGAACCTGTTCCATGAACTACTTACCACGTCAACATCGTCTGCAAACTGCAGGCCAAGAAGTACATTAACTTCAGCTACTCTCTAGAAAGGGATCTTCATTTCTGTCGCAGGCACTTAACATGTGGGAGGGGGCCGAAAATACCGCTAAGTATTTCATTTTGTACTCTGGAAATCATAAAGTGTGGCATAAATTGTCACTTATTTTTTATTAATTCTTTTAAGCCAAAAATTCAATCCACTGTGATATGCGCAAACAGATGAGAAACCGGTAGAAGGTTTTTGGCTTGAGAACAATACGAACAATATTATTTTTTCGTATAATGATGTCAGAACGCAAAAAATGCACACCTCCTCTCTGAGAGATGAGTCTTAGGATGCAATTCGATTTTTCCCTACCTATTAGGCTAAATAAAAGTTAGTATGAAGTGTGAAGAACAAATGAAAAAAACGGTGTTTTTAGAGCAGGTTATTAATTCAAACTGCTACTGATTTATCGCGCCCGTTTAATGCAAAGTTAGGTACGTAAAAGTGATAATAAAACTGATCTCATAAATCATATGCTACCTCATTTACCATTTTCTAGGTATACCAGAATTGCTCTACACTAACGCCTGTCAACGTTCAGTTCTTCACGGTGATGGAAGAATTCAAACTGATTTGTGCAAGAAAGTTTTATTTCCTCTGGCTATTCACTGGCTATCTGTGTGGTCATTTACTGGGCTGTTGTCTTGGAGGTTTGAGCGCTGATCTGTTTGGAAGACTCTCTGGGTTCTTTGCCACACTGACGATCGGTCTGGTTAGCAACGTCATGTCCATTGCCAGCAGAAACTGGACAGCGTTCATTGCATTTCAGATAGTGAACGGGATTGCAATGGGGAAAATGGAGGTGAACAGTTTGACTCTTTTCATAGAGTTCACCGAGGAGAGTTTTCGACTTGTGCCCATTGCAGTATTTCAATCAGGCGTCGCCTTCCTAGTCGTTTCGTTGATAGCCTTCCTAACTGTCCAGTGGCGCTATTACTTCATTTTTGTCGGTCTGATTTCGGCTCCTTTGATGTATCTGCACCTCGTTTTTCGGGTACGTATGACAGACATAGACAATATTGGAGAAATTTGCGTTTTCAACAATTTTTGCTTAGGAATCGCCACGATGGTTACTCGTCCGAGGTAACGCGGACAAGGCAGCCGAGGTGTTGTCCGAAATCGCCTCTGATCGTTGGAACAAGAAAAACTTAACGATCGTGCCTGCTCAACTATTAGTGGCCAGAAATCGCATTAGAAGGTCCTCGTCATTGATCAATGCCGTGAAGAGTTCTAGAAGAGTGCTGTTCCTATTCGTGCAGATCCTGTCGTCCTTCAAGTGGAGCATGGTGAACAACTTTCTACTGGCAACCATGGGCAACCGACTCGTTGGAATCCACTTTCACCTGCTGATCAATGGACTCGTTCGAGTACTAGTGCCTATCGTAGTGATTACTGCGTTTTACAAGGTCGAGTGGTGATTTTTATGCCAAATGGTGTTTTGACTTGTTTTACTGCAGAATCAACGAGCGTCGGCCTGTGGGCATTTCCGATTTCTGGGGCTAAAACTAAGTTAGATATGCCAGCTTCTTACTGAATAAGCATACTCTTCAACGGTGTCATCTTATAATGACATACAGATCATAATGTCAGATAAGGCATAATTCCATCAAAGACCAGTTTTCGCCATATAAGATGCATTTGCTCCTGATATGTAAGTTTGTGCGAAGCCTGTTGTGTGTCGCGTTGTAATAACTCATTGTTGCTCCTTGTTTCCTATGAGCGCCAACAGGAAAGGTCATGGCCCAGTGGCATTCAAAGACGTGCAGTGGTAGGTGCATCTCGCACCATGCTGTTCTTCTTTGTTCTCACATCGTGCTCGTTAAGAACAATGTTTCATGAGCTGGCACTCTCATGTGCCACCGCATAAGCATGAAACTATATTAATGACCGGAAAGAGTCAGATAACGAATGACTCATCAAAGCTCAGATTTCCTGACGTGTTGCACCGCTCCTTCGCAACTATGAAATGCTTCTATCGAGGCATCATGGAAACGCACACTCCGTGCACGACCCCTTGCAAGAGACTAAGCCACTATTATAACGCGTCTGTTATTTTTTACATGTTGACTGAACTGTGACATTCTTTAGGCTAGTTGGCCAAGGGGAAAACACTACCTGCTGTTTAGTTTGGTGGTGGAAGCGATTTGTTTCGCAGTCATGCTGACCAACCTGCTGACCAACGGCAGCTCTAATCTGCGGATCATCTTCTGGCTGGAAGTCTTGGCAACTGTCACCAATTCTGGCATATATCGCCTGTTTCTGATAGATATCATTGCCGTATCGTATCCGACCACCATTCTGTCCACCATATTCGGTATCATCCTGGCCACCTGCGACACAAGTGCCATCACTACGCCGTTCCTGGTCTATGGCTTTGCGGACAAGCCTTACGTGCCGTTCCTGATTGTCGAAATACTCATTGTCGCCACCCTCGTGCTATCCATCTATGTTCAACCGGAAACGAAGTTTGGCAAAATTGCCAGGCCGTTTCAGGACTTCGTAGAAGAAGAAGAAGAGACTGATCTATAATTATAGACAAATTTGTAGAATTATCATAATTGATCAAAAAATTCGAACGATGCAAATAATCGTTTACTGAAGTAAACAATGAATGAATCAGTACTTCACAGTAAGACCAGCAGGTACATCATAACACACGTTGTGCCATTACAGGATGCCCAAGAATCAGACAAAGATGAAAAGTTTAATTTATCAGTCTGCGTTTCTTTCCAACATGATTAATACTGAATGAATGAACTCCAAGTCAAGATTCTGGCACAATAAAACAATTAATGACATAACATTGATAGGATAAACCTGAATGACAGTTTTATGTCACTCAATCTCAGATTAACATTTTTCATAACAGATTATGACTGCTGCCAAGCTTTTATTCATAGCAAAATAATGAATATTTCCTGTACGTATTTTAGTGCCAATATATGAAAAATTCTGTATTAATTGCGGTTCCCTGGTTATTCCTGTCAATCAATAGATCACTGCTTTCGCTGAGGACACGTACTTCCACGACTTCATAAGAAGCAACGCCCGAATATGTAACATTAGTGTTGTGGATGGCGAACAAATGCCCTTTTTCTCTGATATTAAGCCGTCTATAGATCATACATATATAATTCTGCCTTAATTACTTTAGCTTATTTTACAATCTATATCGAAGGATTATGCTGGGCTGGTTGCATGAAGTCCTCTGAGAAACAAACATCCTCGGTGTCATTCCATTAATGTTGTAGAACCTACGCCTAATGCTTATTAAGTGAGTCAATGAGGAGATAGTTAAATAGACGCGTCAGACTGTGTCTCTAAAGTCTCCGTTCTTCGTTACACTTGCTTCATGTTGCTCTGGGTGATCCCGGGGTTTTCGGCCGGTTAATTAAGCAGGTAGTAACTGTTTCTCTTTCATTTCTGTAAGTATTGGCAAGACGTGCTCAAATCATCGCAGTTGCAACTTCCTAACATGGAAAAGCAGCTACTGTACAACAAACCCATCTCTATCTCGAATATTTGTACTCTCGATCATGTCGTCTCAGAAAGGCCATTGTTTGCCCCAGGGTCGAGGGTTTTCAGTGACGGCACCTT